GGATTCGAACCTGCCATCTCAGGTGTATGTGGCTGGTGCCTTAGCCACTTAAGCCACAGGCACTGAGCCTGAATTCAAATCCTAATGTAATTCTTTTCTATTCAACAAGCATGCAGTGAGTGCCTACTAATCAGGAAGCATCTGGTATACTGAGGTCACAGATCTTACTTCTCTTAAGCAGTAACAGAAAAAGGTATGTTGGAAAATAATTACAATATACTGTGATAAATACAAGTACTAACATCCGAACAGAGGGATTCACTTTCTCCTGGGAGACAAACACTATTAATCATCTAAAACACAGAGGAGGCTCGGGGCCCATAGCAGGTACGGTCCCAGCCATGTACACCGAGGTCACCAGGGCCTGGTGGCGGAGGGCAGGGAGGAGGTATGGAAAATTATTGATAAATAGTTACAAGATGTACTGTTAAATATACTTTACCAAAATAAAATCCAAAGAATTGTAAGAGAACAGGTCTATAGGAATACTATAATTCACTGAAAATAATTAGAATAGACTGTATATATTTGCTTAAGAAAGGAACTTTTCTTGTTTTTTTCCTTTTTTTTAAGAGACAGAGTCTATTGCCCTTGGTAGAGTGCCATGGCACCACAGCTCACAGTACCCTCCAACTCAGGTAAACAATATTACCCCAAAAGTCAATGGGAGCTTAGATGATTCTCTTGCCTCAGCCTCCTGAGTAGCTGGGACTACAGGCGCCCGCCACAATGCCCAGCTATTTTGTTGTTGCAGTTTGGCTGGTGCTGGGTTTGAACTCACCACCCTCAGTATATAGGACCAGCACCCTACCCTCTGAGCCACAGGTGCCACCAGAAAGGAACTTTTCTTTCTTTTATTTGAGACAGAGCCTCATTCTTCCCCCTGGGTAGAGCGCCGTGGCATCACAGCTCACAGCAACCTCCAACTCCTGGGCTCAAGCAAGTCTCCTGCCTCCGCCTCCCAAGTAGCTGGGACCACAGGCGCCCACTACCAACGCCTGGCTATTTTTTTTGGTTGCAGCCATCATTGTTTGGCAGGTCCAGGCTCGATTCTTAGGTGTATGTGGCTGGCGCCTTAGCCACTTGAGCCACAGGCGCCAAGCCAGGAACTTTAAGTACTCTTTAAGGAGTACTTAAGGAACTTTAATTACTCTTAAGTAATACAATAATTCCCTCTTAAGAGTTACACCCATGATAACTAAAAAAACAAAAACCCATGAAATTAATAAATGTTAAGTAGGTTTTAAATTACTTCAACAAACATTTCAACTGTACTATATGAAAACCTCATTAGAATTGAAATAGTATAAACAACCTTGAGTTGTTAAATAGTATAAAACATGCTTTGAGTC